CTCAGGAGCAGACCTTGCTTGGGTGCGTGGCTTCTGCCTGGATAATCAATAAGATCTCAATTACTTACTTACAAAGCACAAGTATTTCTTCTTTTTTTCATGTGTCACAAAACTGGTTGAACTTTCCTGCTATGACTAATACAAGGTTGAATAAACACATTTGACCTGACCAAGTACTGAACGCTGGCAGAACCCTGACTGCTAATGACAGTTTGAGTATAGCTCATCTACCGTTAGTTTTTACTTTTATTATTTTAAATCTCATTTAGGCTAAAATAGATATGGCCATCAGGATTATTTATAGACTGTAAATCTGTCACCCAGTAAGGAACATAGTTTTTCAGCAAAGAAATAATAATAACGACAAATTTGCTCTCTTTCTTCAATCTTCACCTAAAACACAGGACATGAAATTAGAGCTGTTATTTCAAAATGAGTATTTGTAACACTTTGCCCTGATTTGCCAACAGAAGATGGCAATTTTTGTTTTGCTTTTAACCTTTGTCAGTTGGAGGCCATGTTCTCAGAATTTTTAAAATATTTTATTTACTACCTGTAAAAGCCAAGATAAAGCCAAGGGGAAAAAGAGAATTCTTAAAGCCCACATAGTCAAATTAATCAAGGAAAAGATATTCCTTAATAGTCCATGCTGTATCAAACAAGCATAGGCTTTGGAGCTGGACACAGTAAGGTCTGAATCTTGGTTGAGCCTTTGCTCTGTGTGTCTACAGGCCACACACTGGAATTCTCTGAGTCCTGTTTTCCTCATTTATAATATCTGAAATACTGCCTCTCCAAGGGTGGTTTTGAGTATTAAGATAATATATGTAAACATGCCAGACATGTAATCAATTGTGGTTCTTATTTCTTTAAAGAAAAGTAAAAGATTTAACATTTAAAAGACAGAGAGGAAGATTTTTCATTTAATTCTGTATGAGTCATTATTATATAATGATGATGATATCACCTCCAATTTACAATTAATAAACTCTTATTCATCCTATGTATCTTCATTACATTTCCCATTGCTTTTATTTTGTCATGATGTT